ATTAAAAAAGGAAATTAGTATGAAATACTCATATAAATTGAAGGAATTAAATATTTTTTCGTCCACTTATTTGGTATTTAATAAGTCACTGCTAAATAAAATATATAAATATGTATATATTAAATTAGGTATAATAAACAGGCACAGTAGAACTTGCATATATACAAAGGCAATTGGGGGTGATGAGCAAGTTTGGTGTTAGGTGCCGGTGGACGAAGATATCCGTTTCAAGAATTTGTAGGAATAAAAACATGACATTATATTCGAATTTATTATTACCGAGATTTTTAGGATTGACTGAACAGTAAGCAGGACTATTAAAAACTGGCGCTACAGCTGGGTTATTCTTATATAGCTGATGTAGTTATAACAAGTCTCAGTATTTTTCGAATATATTCTAAATTTTTATCATGTATCTATCTATTAATAAATCTATCTATTGTACATGACAATATTATGCAAAAAAAATGCAGTTGATCAATAATTCTAAAAAGCTTAAAGCTATTAATTGTTGCCTACGGATGTATGTACACTCGGTACATTTGTGCTATTGACGCTATCGTAACTGCCAGATCAAAAAAAAATCGTAATTGGTTGTCTGGATTGGGTAAGTTGCTGGATGCATTTTATATGCAAATAATGTTAAGTCGACGACTCGACTGGGACGAGATTTATTCGCGAATTATCGGGAGCAACATGCACATGGGAATTCATGTTCATACCTGTACATATCTGCGTCTATAGGTACACGCACGCATGCACGTATAAGTAGGTATATTTGCGTGTAAGTCTCTATGTGTAAAATCGATCGTTATAATACAAAAAAAAAAGACGAGAGCGATTAATAACAAAATCCAGAACCCCCATGTCGCTACGCCAGCCGTAAACTTACGCGAAACACGCATTAAATGTTATTAATTTATTAACGAGATGAGGGGCAAGCAACCTGATTTTCAATTAAAAAAAAAAGGGCCTACAACACGAATCACGCTAACCGTCAGAAACTGGGAGTCTTAAAGAAGTACATGTACACTTAATTGAAGCCTTTAGTAAATCTGGTGTCGTGACTTTCACACCGTGAACGGATTTCGTGAAGGTAGCAAGATTTACCTACACGCATGGTGAAATTCATTAACACTAAAGTAAAATGCATTAAAAATAAGTACATAGAATTAGTATGGTCAATTAAACAACACCAACTAAAATGGCGGGAACTAGCCTATTTTAATTGAACCGGCCCTTAATTTTATAAAAGCAATATCAATTTAAGTGTCTGAAAATGAATCCACTTTGTGTCTAACATATTCTGTAAGTGATTACCTATTAACATTTAGAAGAATTTTTGTAGGGTTAAATTCAATATCATCATCTTCATCATCATCATTATAAGGTCGTCAGTCCTAAGACTGGTTGGACTCGCACCTCCACTCTTTCCTATCCTGAGCTAATCTTCGCATTTCCCTTAAACTAGAACATTCCACATCCTTAACTATTTGCGAACAGTAATCTAATCTAGGCCTACCTCTATTCCTCCTAATTTCCGCTTCTGCCTCTAATATGTCTCTGACTAGACCTTCATGTCTGAGAAGATGTCCTACTAACCTATCTCTCCTATTTCATATTGACTTCCATGGAGTCCTCTGTTCTCTTGTGCTTTCTAACACCTTTAATTCAATACACTAAAGTGAATTAATTTTTCGTCATTAATAGAACAGAGGACTCTATGAACGGCTGGTCAGGCATATTAGAGACAGAAGCAGGAGTTACGAGGAATAGAGGTAGACCAACGTTAGATTACTGTTCGCAAATAGTTAAGGATGTGGGATGTTCTAGTTTTAGCTCAGGATAAATTGGAGGCGCGTGTCCCACCACTTTGGACGACGACCTTACGATGATGACAATTTGAGGTTATCTGTAGTAGTAAAAATAAACTAATACTATAAAATTTAAAAAATTTCAAACTTTCGACAGTATAGTAATTATGGATCATTAATGTTTTTACAACTATTTATTGCCCTAAGAATATTGTTTTAGCCGAGGGGTACAAATTTTCGATACGAATGTTTAAAATATAAAAGGAACTATTTATACTGGGTTGTAAAGGAAAAAAAAAACAGCTGCATACGGTTAAGGTTTATGTAAGATAAGTGGGAAATTTGGAACTATTTTTATAACGGATGCACACCCTTTAGTTTAGAGTCCTTTTCTATAAATATCCGTTGCAAAGCTACCTATATAGCTCCAAACTTCTAATTCCTCATTTACCCTTATATAGACTTCAATTCTATACTCTTACTTGCCTTTTCTTAAGAATCCAGTACGAATAATTAATTTTATTTTAAATTTTAGAACGTAGTACCTATCCAAATTTTGTACCATTTTGACCGTAGTTACCTACAGGTCCAAAGAAAATTTTCGAAGCAATAAATATTTTGTAAGAAGCCTTCGATTTCCTTGTTATAATTTCTTAAAATTTTTTTACTGCATATACTTTTATGAAAAGTAAAAATTACATTTTTAAAGAAACTCGTGTTAGGTATGCCAGTTACAATAACCGGAAACTGGGTTCGTACAAAATTAAACTGTAGTGTCGATAGATCGACACCATTTGTAGCTATGTAATATTATCTTACACAAGTAGTGTATCCACCGCCCACCTTTTTAAATACCAAGCCGGATTTTTAAGGAATGTTAGTAAAAATTAAAATTTAACAGATATCTGTGTATACAATATAAATTACAAGTAATTTAACAACCTACTACCCACCACACTGTCGTTTAAAAATTTATATGCGTTGGGGTAAAAATATTTCAAATTAATCTATAAAAAATCTTACATCAAACGCTTCAGCATTTTGAAATGTAACTGAAGCCAAGTTGAAATGAAATGAAACGCACTTAAAAGATACTACACCTACTGATACTTACTCAATAAGGAGGTACCCGATTATACACAAAAAAGAAACTCAAAGGAAGCAAACTCAAACAAAAATTAAAGGAATCTTTTAGAAAATGTTAAACGAGCTCCAATAAACGTCCAATCTCTAACAACGTTAGCTGCAGAATGAGATCGACCAACGGTCACGTACGTATCATATCTAAAATCAATATAATACATACATTTTAGAATTCTTTCGATGCATTCGTAGGCAGATATCACACAAAAGGCGGCATCTAACAGCTAGTAGCACTACACCATTGAAAATTTTTTAATAAAAGGAGAGAACTCTTACAAATGACAGATACTGGATCAACAATAAGTAGATATTTAAATATAAATAATATTGGTAATCGTAACCATCATTATAAAAAATACTAAAATCATTTAATAAAAGAAATAAAATTGCACTAATTATTCTAGTATGACGCCGTAAATAAATGAACAATGTAGTTGGATCTACCATGCTGTGTTAATTTTGCATTTAACATTTCATAGTAGAAAAAGGACTCAACTATGGGCCGTTAAATGGGAAATTGTCAGTGTAGATATTGGACGTTACTGGGTAGTAATCCACTAATTATTGTAAGAGAACCTTATAAACCTTACTAGAAAGCATATGAATTTTGCTGTACTACCATGGTAATTTCGTCATTATCAGTTAAAGGCGCTCAGATTATAAGATAACATGATGATTATTAAATATTTTCCGTGTAGATGTACTTTTTGTCTTTAAAATTTTGAAAGAACAGATGTATAAAAAACCAATAAATGAGTACAGGCCTGACGCTGGAAGCTGGCGGAAATTTTAAAATGGCGTGGATGCGCGGTGACAAAAGTAGGCAGTTTTAGGTATAATGATTGCAGCCCTCTTTCTTCAGTATTCCTATCAGCGGCGTAGATTAAATATTCAAAATAAATATCTGAAAGCTTATTTGTGTATTGGTTCCGAGTGACCTACCCAAATAGGTCATAAATGGGCAAGTACCTGCGCGACCGTTCGCCAGCTTCCAGCGTCAGGCCTGTAGTTAGGTAGGTATAATGATTGCAGCCCTCTTTCTTCAGTATTCCTATAAGGGACGTAGATTAAATATTTAAAAATAGGGATCAGTGAGCAAGTAATAGACAGACAAGCAGAAGAACTAATTGTTGATGTTGCTGACACTGATAGAGATTCCCATGATGATAGTGAATGTGAAAACTAACTATAAAACAAAAGCAATAGGTTTATTTTTTCTTTCTGGTAAGTCATGTTTCTACATTATTTCCTAGTACGCTACTGTCCTATCTGTATTAATACTATAATTTACGCCTACTGAAAGTTTATTTGTGTTCGGTTTCAAGTGACTTACCCAAATAGGTCATACATGGGCAAGTACCTGCGCGACCGCTCGCAAGCTTCCTTCGTCCGGCCTGTACTGCACAGTGAAAGAATCAGAGTATAAACTACCTAATACCACTACCACTTTAATTCTCCTTTTAGAAAATTACCATCGTGGTTTCTTTTAATACCTACCTAATGTTATATCAACATAAAATGTGTCTACAGAGAAACTAATCCAAAAAAGAAAAGAAAGAAAGTAACGTACTAAATTAAATAATATTCAGTAGTGTGTAAATGTTAAAATTTTACTTTATATGTTAATAATCGTTTCCCTTTCGATTATCCGACGATCTGTTGTCGCATAATAATAATAACGACGATGAACATAATAACTGCAGCGAAGATAAGCGTGTATCCGGCAATCGGCTTGGAATTAAGTCGAATTTTTATAAGACGCGATCCAAAGGCAATTACTATTTAAATTCATTTAAAACGCTTAGTATTCAGTTAGTTATGGCCTTAAAGGAAGGCATCATTTGAATTTTAATGAGATACGAAGCTGAAATTACGATGAAGGCGCCTTGCGATTGCGAACGACCTTTTAAAATTACCTGACGGCAATGCGTCTTTTCTTCAATACTGTTTCACACTTTTCTTTAAAAATATAAAAAGAAATTTGCCGAAAGCAAAAAATTAACCGTAAGTTTACCAATAAATTCGAAAGGAGAAAAGGAAAACACTTACCAAATCTGTCTTCACGTCCATAGAGAACTTCAGCTTGATATTTCTTCGTATAATTTGAGGCAGCAGCTTATCTGAAACAAAAGAGAAGTATTAGATATTAGGATATTAGTATATATATAAGCAAAATTGGACTAGGACTTACAGTCTTGCCCTTGGTCTTGCGAAAAAGACTAAGACAAAGACTAAGACCAAGATCAAAACTGTCTCAATACTAAAACCACGATCAAGACCAAACACACAAGACTAAACAAAGAATTATTGCTTCCCGTGAATTTATGAGTAAAACTATTTGAAGCAACTTTAATTTATTCTTTTCATGGAACTAAACATCTTTTGTATTTAAAATTTTCAGTTTGCTTTACTAAATTTTGACATTAAATATAAAAAAGATACTATATCACAGTCTAAAAAAATGACTACACAATGTTCTCCGGAGTGTGGATTGTTTGTTTCCATATCTGTTGAAATATAGAGACTAAACTAATTTTTTACCGATACCTGCACTGCTTTCAAGTACCTTGTACTATTTTTGTTCCCTAAATTTCAATTTATGAAAGGAAGGGTCAATTTATGCGTTGGAGGAACGATAAGTTCTCAACTTTTCATATAAAAAGCAACTTAAAAGAACTATCATATTAAAAAGAACGTAAGTATTAGATTACATGAAGAAGACCAAGACTTAACACGCCAGAGCAAGACCAAGATCAATGCTAGAAGTATTTGAGCAAGACCGAATAAGTAAGACTGGAACGGTCTTCGCTCATTACTATTAGATATGTACTTATATTGGAAAAAAGTAAGAAAAAAAATGTTAAGTACAAGTACAAGCTTACAAGCACGGGCGGATCTGAGACTTTGGTAAAGGTCTAGATGATGGCCCCCACCCCCGAACGGCGTGGGGGTAGGGGGATCGAAAGAGGAGGTCTCCCCCACCACTGTACCATAAAAAGTTCGTGGCGGTCTCACCCCCATTAAAAGTTATGGGGGTTCAAAGTTAATAAATATGCCAATTTTTATACATTTCTAGGCATGTAAATATTTATATAGTCATTTTTAAACAATATTCAAAGGTAAAAGTAATGAAAAATACATAAAAATATTGAAAAAGTTATATGAAACATTATTTAAATAGCTTTATCAATAGGTTAGGTTAGGTTAGGTTATCGGGTTTTGTTCGTGACCACCCTCTTTCGATCCCCCACCTCCACCCGCTTGAAAATTTATTTTTTATTGAGTTTTATTTGAATTGTAGTGTATGAAAATTGCCAAAATAATCAACTTTCAACCTCCATAACTTTTTATGAAGGTGAGACCGTCGCAAATTTTTTATGGGGTTTTACTCAGGTGAACACCCTTTTTCGATGCCCCCTACCTTCTTTCGATCCCCCTACCCCCACCCCCATGTAACCCCCATAACTTTTTGTGGGTGTGAGACCGCCACGTACTTCTTATGGTACGGTGGTGGGAAGACCTCCTCTTTAGATCCCACCCACTCCTTGAAGGGGGTGGGGGCCATCATCTAGACATTTACCCCGACTTTAAAAAGGAGGGGGTGTACAAAAGCAGCTGCTCTTTTTTGCCGAATCGAGATTTTTCTTCAACATTTATTTTCATGAAAAAGATCTGTAAGTAAATGTGGAATTTTGGTTTTTCTGACCCGAAGGGTTCGGCCTGATCTCAACCTCACTTTCATTCATGAATTCGCCACTGCTTACAAAGGCTAATTATTAAATTATTGGAATATGAAACAGCCGAGGATTATTAGATCAATCACCATATTGTACATTAGGAGAAAGAAGTTATATGACTGGTTACATTGGGTTGGTTGGGTATGCAAATCGAAATGAAAGAAACAGTTACTATTAATAATAATTTCGTGAAGAAGTACGAGTTTTCGTGTTGGGCAGATATAAAGGCGATTCTGTATACATATATATTATGTACACGTGGGGCACGGGATCTTTCCCGTGCTTACTTTACCTACGTTCTCGACACGTCGAGTTAAGACCCATATCTCTCACTTGTCACAGATTACATGGCCATAAAGTGGCCGTTTTACGATCGCGGTCTGTAGATCGACTTGGCAAACAGCAAATAACTCAAAAACACAACACGGACGTACCTATACACACTAGTACTCAAATATTGCTCACAGCAACTGTCATTACAGCAACGTAGGTGTGTCCATCTCAGAAGAAAATAATAACGGGAAGACTTTACAATGTTGCGAGTGTTCCTGACTAGGTTTTGATTTAAAATCTCAGTTCTGAGATAAATCTAGATGTGAATTAGGGTAATTACAATTGATTAATGAAACTTATGTACGAATTTAATAGGATTGTTCAAATACACAATTCTCGTTTTACTCTGAAGCCACTTTTGAATTGCACGAGTTACAGTGGAACTTAGTTATGACAACAACTCTGACGTAACCTCAGCTTTTAATAGTCCTCCAAATTTACCATCCCAACCAACGCCAAAAAACTCGGTAACAACAGTAAGCTCTCGGATACTTATAACCTTATATTTTTATTGCTACAGATCCTTCAAACGGTCATATTGTCCACCCTGTCATTATTATATGAACCACATACATAGTACAAATGTGTTTTTGAAATTATTCAGTTGTTTAGTAGGTAAATTCGTGCCGTTAAAAAAGATATTTGGTTATTACTTAGGTCAAAATATCACCGTTCCATAGGGTGACGGTATATAAGTTCAACACTATTTAGTATTACATAAAGAGTACGTCTCTTTTTCGAGTCATAGTTATGGCAGTATAAGTCATCTTGCTCCATAAATATGTTTTTGTACTTTAAATTTTATTTAAAAAATGATTGAAGACATAAATGTTTTAACCTTTTAGAGTGCCATTTTCATTATTTAATACCAATATCTTCACCCATTAGTTGAAATCTTTCAATCTACAGAACCAGCCGTTTTAATGACACACAGAAATATACAGTAGTGTTATTTTATCCTTTCAGTCACGTTACCTATTCTTGGTTTATGTTTTTTTTTTTGTTGCAACAACTCAGAGAAAGTGACGTGAAAAACGAAACTAAATTCCTGAATCAATGATTTACGTCCATGGTACGTTCCCGTTTAGATCACATAGTGGAAAGGATAAAATAATTTTACTGTTGTAGCTACAATTAAATGCTAGGTATGTTATTAAAATCTAAGATAAGCATCAATTAAAGCAGAAACAAAAGATAACGTATAGCAGAGTGTCTAATGCACATGTGTCTTCCTGTATTAATGACTGCGCACTGAAATGACTGAATACTGAATACCATTTCGTGGACAACTACAAATGGGTTGAAAGTGAAATAGGACCGCCCGGCGACCATCCATGGAGTCTGTCGGTCATCCTCTGGATTGGAACGCTTTATCTCTATTATGCATGAGTCAAATCCTACAATGAATGATTCCTTTCTTTAAATAGTTGGAAGGTTGGAACATACCTTCGGTAAATAAAATATCATATTTTGTATAAATCTACATTTATTACTTGATTCTGTATTACACTATACATTTTGTTTTTTATCCATCTGAGGCAGCTACTGTCCATGAAAAGGTCTGTGGTTGCAAGTATCTTAAAGGTTAATAAACTAATTCATCTGCACAAATTTTCATAAAAGTTTCCTTTAATTAGTATGAGAGATTGCGAAAAACATTTCTCAATTCCTTATGTATATGTATTAAGAAGAACATTAACACTTTAACGACAAAATAGCTACGTAATTGAGAAAATTTATAATGAGTTTATAACACCGTGTTGCTTCACAATATTCTTGACGAATTCTTTAGATTTAGAGGCTGTAAATGTTAAAATACGCAATCAATATTCGTTGAAAAAGTTTTCCATGATTTGATCTTTATAAAACTAAATTTACATTTTTTTCTAAATAGTATTAGGTCAACAGTCTCTTTAGGTATGTAAAATTTCGGTTTTTTCGGTTCCCGAGATAAAAATGTTCAGTCTCTCAGAGTCTCTGAAAGCGAGACTCGAGTCTCTGTCTCTCATCGGGTTTGTCTGGTGTCTCTGAGAGTGACTGTCAAAAAAACTGTTTAGCGTCTCTGAACGAGAGACTTGAGTCGCTCATAGAGAGACCCTCATTTCGTATACAGTCTCTGAACGAGAGACTCGATTCTCTCAATCAGTGGTGTCTCGATAAACATGGTTAAAATTTTCTCAATTCAACATATTTCAGAAATCGATCCCAGTCTTTCTACGAGAGACTCGAGTCTCTCAATTTTTCAGTTTTATTCATTCAGTCTCTCTGTAAGACTCGAATCTCTGAATTAACAATTTCATCGTTCGAGTTTCTCATATAGAGACTGTGAGAGATCCATAAAAACACCTAGGTAATAACTGAGAGTCTGTGAAAGACTGTGAGAGACGCTGATAGACTCGGAGAGACTGGATAGAGTCTGAAAATTTTTATCTAGGGTTATAAGTGTTTAATTTTTAGAAAGATAGCGCTAAAAATTCCAACTAGGTACCTACATATATACGTATTTATCACGAACTTCATCGAAACGTCACCTTTATAGTAATGACGACTTCTGCTCTTAATAACTCAGTTCAATAATTAACCTCAGTCCCCATTAGCGATAGGGGAAAAGCCAGGGGTCATTTGACAAAGTACGCTCGGCGTCTCTATAAAGCCCTCTATTTCGTTATTTATTTCGGGAAGGAGTTTCCTTATACAAGGGCACGAAGGTACACCTATAACGGTACTGACGACGCCAACTCAACGTTTCGTACACGTGGATGACGAACTTCGTGATCGCACGATCACAATCGAAAGTCACGAGCAATGTGAATAACGACTTTTCCGAGTCACAAAACGTGATAATTGAATCGGAACCCGATCCGAAGATCCGACAGTTAAAGTCACGACATACGCGGAAATACAATGGCTGTGGGTGATGATGATAAGAAGAAAACAGACTTCAGTGGAAGCACATAAATTCATCTAATCGTAAGTAATGAATCTTGGCCGCACAATCGGCACTTTAAACGATAAATGGAAGATGATCGATTTCCGAAACACGTATTCAA